TAATAATCCCTAATGGAAAAATTTACTGTGCTCGTTACTAATAGTCGGCACTATTAGTAATTTTATTACCTTTGTAGCTAAGGGCTTGTTCAAATGGAAATATATTTATAGTAGAATTATTTCAGGTAGTTGGCTGGGAAATGACTATCAATGACATTTCATATCAGTGACAGCGATCTTCATCATCGATTATATGGTGTAATAAGAGTTACTAATAGTGTGGGCTTTTAAATGTATAACTAAATAGGTTATGAAATTATTTCATTCTATTAATGATACGGTTCATTAATATAAGGATTTAGGTACATTATATTAATGAAATCTGTTCATTGTACCAATGAATGTGTTCTTCAAATTAATGAACACTGTTCATTGATTTAATGAACTTAAAGTTCATAGAGTTAATGAATTACTTATCATTGTGCCAATGAAATCGTTCATCGGCTCAAAATTAATGATTTAATTCATTATATTAATGAACTTTTTCATTATATTTATGTCGACTTTTGGTTCAGTGTATAAAATAAAATTCTGATAGAAAAGGATATTACGTCTTTTTTGATTAGTATAGGTACTATAGTATCATTAAATGAGATTTGTTTTCTATCAAATTCAATATCAATAACTGATGACAAAACATGATGACTTCCAATATTTATAGCGCATTTTCAATTTAAATTATTCACGAGCATTGTCACGTCGAAGACGATTCCCATAAAGAAAAGTTACAAAAATATTCCCTCGTCAATCATTCCCCATCCGATCCCATCCGAGTCCTCTTTCCCCATTCGCGCTGGTCCCAACTATTTCTCGATTATTAACTGTCCGTGCGTTGTTTGTTCATCTGAAATTTACGACCGCCCTCACGGTTTTATGTCCGGCGCGCAACTCTCTCGCCGAGCCAATAAATGCAAATTAGCAATAAAGCAAAAGGGCGCGCTTAATTTTATAGATTTATTTGCATGGAGCCACGCACGGCGATCAATCATCTCGGTGAAAGAGTCACGTGTGATGTAAATGCGGACAGATACGCCCACGGCGTCTTAATTTCACCCCGGGACGTCACCACCGGTCTTTGTGTCCTATGAGTAAGAGCTAGGAGGGATGTTTTCATTATGGAAACGTCCGTTATATCGTTAGTGCACTTATTAGACGAATTTTCATTAAAATCTATCTAAAGTTTCGAAACTGCAAAACTAGGACTCATCGCTAGTTAAGCCGGGTTGACACGGTCAAGGTGCACTTGGACCAAGTCAACCAGATACTTCCATTATAAATATACTATATAACGGTATTAATGTGAAGGTTGGTGCTGCTTACTTGCAACTAAAATTAGTAATATTCGGGTTCGTGTTTTTACTTAGTTGTAATCTAAAATCGGATTCCAATTGTCAATACAAGAGTAGAGAATGCCTTTTCACAGAGCTATGTGGATGAGAAAAGCAGTAAATGTTTCGGTGCTTCCTCTGATATTTCTTTATAAACTTTATAAATTTATCCAAAAATTTGATAAAGAAGTTTCTTTGAAATTATGTTTTAAAGCTGAATCACATGGTATTTCTATTAATTGATTTTTCTGTACCGTTGTCAAGCCGTTGATATTTGAAATATCTGCGTTGAAAAGGTATCCAGTTTTTATTTCTGTGGGGTTCTGAAAAATATTCCTGAAAAGATCCTCAAACCGCGGAGGTATTTGATCATTTTGTCTTCTACTTGCTTTGGCAACATTGTTTATAGGTAAGACGGCGGACCCTTATACACATATTCGCAGACCCTCCAGGAAAAACTGAATTAGGGTTTGGTCGGTAGGAACCGTTTTTTCGAAACGGGGAATTTCGGTATCATGCCTCTAAGGAACCAGAATTTGCCGGTTTTGAAGGTATTGGCGTAAGAAACATAGGTAACTTAAATTTACATCAAACAACATCAACCAACTTAACTAAATCTGAACAAAAACATTTTCAATTAAAATTGCAAATGCTTATAAAAACATAACATAAAAAATATACCTAATACAACTAGCAACATTTTACTAAAAATAACTTAAAATAACATATTTAAACTTCAATAATTGCTAATAAACATTACAGAAACTTCATAGAACTTCAGAAGTAAGAACAGTAAGAGACAGCATCAGTACTTATTTAGAAGAGTTTGGTTTCGACCGTTAAAAAGTATCAATGGACTTTCGCATGTAACAAAAAATTATTTCTTAATTATTGTTACCGAGTCCCGAAAGTACCGAAAGAACCGGGAATTAATAATTTCCAGTCCTGTTTCTTTGATGTCTTAAAAGAACCGGGAATTCCCGGTACTTTCTAATAAACCTATACTAATATATAAAATCCTGAAGTGACTGACATACTGATTAATCACGATCCTGCTCAAACCACTCAACGTAAGAAGCTCAATTTTGGCATACAGGTTGATTCGAGGGTGTAGAGGTTCGATAAGAAGGGATTTTTTGAAATTCCAGTTCCAACGGGGTGAAATCACCCCTCAAATATTACAATATTTTTTATTTAAAAAACGGTCAAGTTTCCGAAAAAACGCTTAAACACGTATATTTTATTTTGTTTTTTTACATATTTTAAGATTTTTTAAAAATGTATACAGGGTGTTTCGAAAAATCTGGTCATTGATTAATCACGATCCTGCTTAAAGCGCTTGGCGTAAAAAGCTCATTTTTGGAAAACAGATTGACTTTAGGGTGTAGAGGTTCGATAAGAAGGGATTTTTCGAAACTCGAATTCTAAGGGGGTGAAACTATCCCTCAAATATTAAAATATTTTTTATTTAAAAACCGGTGAGTTTTTCGGAAAAACTCTTAAACAAGTATATTTTATTTTGTTGTTTTTCAAATTTTAAGATTTTTTCTAAATTTATACAGGGTGTTTCATAAAATATGACCATTGAGTAATCACGATTCTGCTTAAACTGCTTGACGTTTAAAGCTAATTTTTGGCAAACGGATTGACTGTGGGGTGTAGAGGTTCGATAAGGAGGGGTTTCTCGAATCTCAAATTCCAAGAGGGCGAAAACGCCCCTCAAATATTACAATATTTGTTATTTAAAAAACGGTTAGTCTTTCGGGAAAACGTTTGGACAAGCATAATTTATTTGATTTTTTTACATATTTTGAAATTTTTTAAAAAATCATACAGGGTGTTCCAAAAAGTTGGGTAATTTCTTAACCACGATTCTGCTTAAACTGCTTGACGTAAAAAGGTTATTTTTGCCAAACGGATTTTTCGAAACTCAAATTCTAACGAGATGAAACCCTTCAAATATTACCAAGTTATATAATAATATCGCAATATTGTTTTTTCTCATGCTGACATAAATGTGAGAAAATTTTAACCAGTTTGTATATGAATGGAAATTCTTGCTTTGCTTTATCATCACCATTACAAATGATTAATTCGACGTGAACGAAGTCGCTGGTACATGCTAGTCCAGATATAAAATCTTAAACCTAAAGAAATATTTCCCTAAATAACTTATCTTTAGAAATTTAGGATAATAGGGACAATATTTGATTCACAATTAAGATTTAATGATCACATTACTGATTTGAGGCGAAAAGTTCTTGGAAAGTAGGTAATCAGCACATATTAAGTCTGAATAACAGAAGAATATTTTCAGAATGCTCTATCTGCTTTCAATTCAACTACTGTAATTTTATTTATTTTCCATGCCTCTACTTCAAGTTTTTTTTGAATTGAGATCTTTGAAATATCCAATAAAGGCTGACGCTCACTAGACGGAAGCGCGACGGAGCGCAAGGCAGCGCGGCGAAAAGGAATTTTTATAATACATAGTTTTAAGTGGGAGCGCGCTCACTTGGCGGAAACGCAGCGGTCGGCAGCGAAACGATTTAAAACTATGTATTATAAAAATTCCTTTTCGCCGCGCTACCGTGCGCTCCGGCGCGCATCCGTCTAGTGAGCGTCAGCCTTAATGCTTCAATTTCACGTTATGTGACATGTCAATCTTCTTGGATCAGCTTATGTACAGCATTGACATTTTCCTGTGTGACTGTCGTTGTCGGTGGAGCTGTTTTTGGATCGTCGCTAAGACTAATCCATCCACGTTTATATTTTCCATACTAGAAAGTGAGAAATTGTCGACTGATGTGTTGCTTTATGTTGAAAATAGAAACCAACTCGGTAAGGCATTCTTGTTGAAACAACTGTCTTCGTAAATTGTAAAAGATTATTGCGCGAATACTTTCTCGGCTTAATTCCAGTTTAAGTTGACTTACTTACTCGTCAAAATTCAATTTACGTACAGCTATAAACGAAGCTATCTAAAACAGCCTCTACACTATGCAAAAAACTCTTCGAAACATGTCAAGGTCGCATTTCGTCGCCCATTTTTAACGCATTTCGATTTTTTTTTGGCGTTTTTTGTTGCCTTGTTCAGTTTTGTTTTGTTTTGAACTATTTCCCAAACGAGGCGTTATCTGTATCCGAGGCAAAGGATTTTTTTTTCATAAATCTCTGTGAAATAAGTAAACCTAGACGTTTCTAAAATAGCTGTTCTTACGATGATGTTTCGTTAATTACATCTCGTTTTATGTTATATTGATATACATTCCACAAAATTAATATTTGAACACGCGTTTATTACATGTATAGCACGATACACATAAACATCACATCATGCACATAAACAAGTTTATGTCTATCGTGATGTATAGTAGATATTTAGGAACAAAACTTTTCACTTAAACTGCAGGATTATAATTACAATATTTTTATGATTTAATTTTATTATAATGAATGAATGAATTAGTATATAAAATTATATATGATATGTTTGTTTACGGCCTTAATTGATTAATATAAGAGTATAGTAAACGGCACGAATGTTTGGGAGTGATTCATCGGTCGCTACCATGTGAACTAATCTGTTCAAGGTCACATAAAACTTAATTCCAGTGCCGTGGTGTTTCAAGTAATATAATAATCAATATATAATCTGTTGTTTATGTTTTTGTGCATGAAATTTTAAATTTATTATTATTGATGAATATTACAAAAATATTTATTAAGTAACAAATTACTTAAAAAAGGAATATTGAAAACTTTTCAATGAAAAGTAGGTTTCGCCAGTTGATATGCATGGGGTTCCTAAAATGACGAAATTCATAATGTTCTGCTGCATTGTTCATCATAATGTATTGAATATGATGTTTATTAATAAATTTATTTCCTTAACATTGATAAAGATCGAGATGACATGACACCTAGAAAAGGAGGGTGAAAAAAGCGTGATGCAATTAAAATCATGTTCACATGCCAGCTCTCTTCTGGTTTGGCTTCGCTCCAAATAAATTGTTTCAATAAGATCCCTTTTCCGTCGTGCCGTAATTAATTAAAAGTACTTGGATTGAATAAAATAAAGTAAGTCAAAGTTGTTTAAAATTGGTTTAAATTAAATAACACATATACGACAAATACGTACCCGTGAACAAAGCTAACATTATGTGAACATGATTTTAATTGCACCACGCTGCCTTTTTTAATAAATTATGCAATAGTACCTTCTGGACTGATGTAACAGGGAGCAAATAAGGGCCATCGTTGTCGCGTTCCCGCAAGAAATAAGCAACCAACCGCATAATGAATTCTTTCTGCCCTTCATTTAGTCGTTTGCCGGGCATTTTCATTAAAATTTCAACTACAAACAAATGCACCAAGGGGTAAGACCATCTTACACACTAAATTTATCTGTTAATTTACCCCTTAACTCAAATCTCGTACTTACCGATGGTTTCACTAACAAAACAATTTAAAATATCCAAATTTATACTAAAACACAAAAATAAAATAATCAATAATATAGAGCATTTCAGCAAACTGTCAAAGTCTTGTCAAAACATATATTTGGTTATAAATATAAACTGGAATGCCCCATTGGTCGCACTGCAAGCACACCGATGGACTGACGCACAAAAACGAATCAATCAAAGAAACGCGATATAGTAGCGTCTTTGTCAATCACGCTAACATTTTAGAATAACTAGGAGGAGCGCAGGCAGATGATTAGACCGGGCTTTTAAAAACCTACGTCTGCGGTAAAAATTTACGTTTTTAATGTAAAAATTATAGCGCGCGTGTCGATTCTAACTTCATCAAGCAATGAATCACTCCCAAACATTCGTAGCGTTTACTATAGTATTGTTTGATAAGTAATACTGGTAACATTATCAATATATCGAGCTGAATGGAAAAATTATTGATAGACCCGATGTCAACAAATAGACACGGACACGGATTTTTTAAAAGCTATGTTCCTTTATTGTTCTAAACGATACCTGTACTAGCACCTAGCATGGTTCGATATAAATCCATTCAACTAGTATTTATTTTGCCGGGATTTAGACAATTAAGACTAGGAAGTCATTCGCAAAAGTTAAGATTAAATGCATGCATTCTTTATTTATTAAAATGGGTAGCGGCGACATCTACAAGACAGATGGTTGAATGCATTGATTGTTGTTAAGGTTTTCTACATTTACACTAAAATATTCCCATGTGGTTCAGCAATTTAACAGGAAATAATCAATAACATAATATATTTTGTTTCAATAAATAAATATGCTTTTTAATATTAATGCTTATATTTGGTTTTAGCAACTAATGGTTTTGTGAGAAAAAAGTTTTAATTAGAGATGGGAATTAGAGGATGGGAATTGGACTTCGATCCATATTAATGTTAAAAAATTGTTTGAGAAGTGGAGAAATAAAATCACAACATACGTTTCTCTCCGACGGATATCGAATTACACCACCCCACTCGCCGCTATTTTTTCTTGTTCTCTTCTCCGCCATCCGTCGCCCCATAATCCGCAATCTAATATGCACCCCGGCCCTGGGAACCGGCTATCGGATTACGCGGCGGTTTACACGGATTACGCCGTTGGCTTTTTAACGCCGCACCATATTGAACGCGTAAAAAGACATTAAGCGCGCCTCTGATTTATTAAGGCGCGTGCCCCACATTATGGCGCTTCGGGGCAGTGTGCGTTGTTTGAGATTCGCACGGGGCGATTGTTTGTTTAATTAGGGATAGTATCGGGGTCTTTTGTCTATGATTATAAAAAAGTTTAATAATGAAAGACGCTATAATGAATTGCCATATTTTTAGGCGATAGACATAAAAAAAGAAAAAAATGTCAAATATGATTTATATAATATCTATTAACAAATTTGTGTCTAAAACAGTGACGAGCAATTGCAAGACCAAGACTAAGACTCGCTTGGTCTTGGTCTTTATATTGAATCAGCATTACCTTTTTTTAATAAAACAATAATTTTGAAACAATAAGTAACTTTTTATATCATTTTATTTATTTAAAAGGTTGAAAAAATATGAGGGATATTAGTTAAAACTCTATTATTCGGTATGTTTGGACAAAAAAGATGTTTATACGATTATAGCTTATTGTTGACGGCTACCATAAATTAGTATACCATAACAGTTTCAGAGAAACGTTTTTTAATTTTTTTTATTTAAAACAATATAGGGATGAGTATTTAAAACAATATGAGGAGGAGTAAGTAAATAAAAATTTTGTTATTTTTTTAAATTATTATCTATGAAAAATAAGATGTAAATAAAAAATGCAAGACCGCAAGGGTCGTGGATGCTGGTTTTGCGTCAGTCTTGCACTGGTCGATCTTGTTATTGGTCTTGCAGATAAAACGCTATTCTAAAAATATATTTAAAATATCGGATATTTAAAATTATTGTTTAATTTCACTATTAGGTGAATTTTCCAAAATTCATGTGAAACTATCTAAAATAATTTAAACTCCTTTCAGAAAAACAATATGGATTTGTAGAGTCAAAATTCGAAAGTAATGCTATCATAAAATGTTCAGTATTGGCTACCTAAGCACTTTAAGACACTCGAAGAAATTTCTCAGAACTTATGACAGGGAAAAATCAAAGATTTTCCATGATGTAAGTAACAACATTCTTTGGATTGTCACGAGATTTTTATTGTAGATTTGTCAAAAGACGTTCGGCACAATTCATCATGATACTAATATATATTAAACACACTAATGGGTTTTAGGGGAAAGAAAAAATCAAATCAATATCAAAATACATACATACATACAGCCGTTACTCGCTGACAAGTATTCGACACACATAAAGAAGATGGTCACGCAAGGCGTTTTCTTTTGTGAGCTTTTCTGTGACTGAAAAGCCCGATACGTGATGTTATCTGCCTACCGCACTCCGGACATTCAAAAATCTCATTGCTTTGTTGCCTTTTTACTTTTTGGTTGCCGCTGTTAACTGAGTTTACAACCCTTCTCCATTGAGTTTTATTGTGAGCTGCTTTTTCCCACTCATTCTGCATGTTAATTCCGTTTAAATTTTCGTGGAAAATGTCCTTGTACCTTTTCAGTTGTCCACCCGGCCTCCTCTTACCGTCTACAAGCTCACCGTAAAGCAGAGATTTTGGTATGCGGTTTTTTTGCATTCTGCATACGTGACCAGCCCATCTTAAGCGAGATTTTGTGACCATGACTTCAATACTCTCGCAGTTAGCTTTTTCAAGGACCGATACGGTTGAGACATGATGGAACCACCAGACTCTTAAGAGTTGTCTAAGGTGTCTCTGTTGCAACTTGTTTAATGCGTTCATGTGTCGGCGGTAAGGTACCCAGGTTTCGCTCCCATATACCATAGTGGGGATTATAATTGCTTGGTACACTGCAAGTTTTGTGTTTGTACTCAAGTCATGATTGTAAAAAAAAACCCTGTCTTTTAATTTCCAGAATGCTCTTGAGGCGCTACTTCCTGTGCTGAATTTCGGAGTCAATATTGGCCTTTTCCGAAATGAAACTGCCAAGGTAATTGAATTCCGCCATATATTCCAATAGTTCTTCTCTCGATTTTTATAGCATTGTTGTGATCTTCCGGGGGAGTGCACATGATTTTAGTTTTGTCGATGTTTAGCTTAAGGCCCAAAGCCTCGTATGCCCAGGTATATGCGTTCAACATTGTAATTGTTGTACCGTGTTTGCAACTAGAGCGCAGTCGTCAGCGTATTGAAGTTCTGTGATAAATTTTGTACGTGTTTTTGCCCTGAGTCTTTTTATGTTGAACAGACCGCCGTCATATCTGTATCTAATGCCCAATCCTCTCTCCTGCAGTTTGCTGTCTACGATAATGGAGAGCGCTGCCATGAATATGTTGAATAGGAGAGGCGCTAAGACACAGCCCTGCCTAACTCCTATATTTGTTAGGAATGGGTCGCTCAGTGATCCATGTTGTTGAGACTCTTGACTTGTTGTTGTTGTTGTATCAAAATATCCGACAGTAGGACATTTCCATTCAGGATGTTGAAAGGGGGAAAAGGGTGATCAACTATGATGTGCTTCAGGGCACCCCACTGGGTTCTGTATTTTTTTGTAAATACATTTATGAATTAATAAACTTGATTCTTGATGCACACGTTATGCTAATGATACATCTATTTTCTTTAGATCAACCTGTTGGAATCTATTGAAAGCCGAAGTAGAAAAATTAATGAAACTAGTATGTAGTATGCAATTTTTTGAAAATGGGGAAACACCAGAACAACTCATCACTGAGTGCGCCGGCCGAGACGACAACAATGTGTGCCATAAACTTTGGTACGAGTGATCTGGGAGATGGAGAACTAACCTCTGTAAAACTGTCCGATACTGGCCTTCGTCAAAGCCCTGGGACTGTATGATGTGTTTCTAACTCAAGAAAGGGGGACACAATTGATCTGTAAGGTCGCGCTAGTTAACTCCTAATTCATAATTTTATAAGTGTCTACTGTTTAGAACTAATAATAATACCAAATTAGTATTTCTCTTTCCTTATGCAACAATAAAATAAACCACTAATTCACCACAATACACGAATAGCACTTCATAACACTTTACTTTTACAGTGGACGCGCCTTTCGCTAATCTTGTTAGCATCATTATCAGATGATTAATACACAATACTATTAAGAGTTTAATTAATTTTTTATTAAGAGTTTTAATCATCTGCTGATGATGTTATCATGGTTAGGGAAACGATCGTCTAGTGCAAAAGTAAAATGTTTTGCTGTATTGTGGTGAATTTGTGTTTTATTTTACCATATCTGTTTCCAGTGGTACACCGTGAAGTGAGCCGTACAGTTTTAGCAAAAATTAATAACAAATACAATTAAGTACATTTTATATTTATTTTAATAAGTAGATGGTAACATAAGTGCAATTATTATTTTTTTACGAAGAGCTTACCAAGATTTTATAATAATTATTACCTATTTTTCTATGATTTTTATTATTTTAATATTTTGCTATTTCACTTCTTTAATAATCTGACAATATTTTTGTTAAATTAACAACTGTGTAAACTAACTGTTATATTGCTGCATGTGCAGATATTATTTGAGATCTTTTGTAAACTAAATAAAGTTACAATGTCATAAGATAAACCAATTATACCCCACACACAGTGTAATTAGATCGTTATGGCTGATTACATATTGACTGAATTAAAAAATATTCAAAGGTTATGTACAGAACTAATTATATTCTAAGTGACAAAAAATCTACAAGGAAATTTCTTATTTATACTAATATATGTAAATGCTCACACTTGTTAATATCACCACCAAATATTTTTGTTTGTTCGGTACATTTTTTTCCATATGCACTTTAAGAAGTTACGATAATTTTCATTATTAATAATTTAACGATGAGCTTTAAATTTTGCAAGAGATATCAAAAAGCTTATACTACTTTATAAATGAAGCGAGAATGAC